CTCTAAACTGTTCATTATTTCCACCACCATTTGCAGTTGTTGAGAGGGCTGGGGAAGATGGGAATTGTAGCCCAACCCTTCCCCTCCCCCAGGAAGCATTTGGTTAGGAAGCCCTTGTTTCAGCACCACTCTTTCTTGCTACAACAACACTGTTAACTGCACTTCCACAATGTCTTTGGTCCAAAGGACCACATTTCAGACGCTCAGCCTGAAGCTGTGTTGAGAATCTAGAGTGGAAAATGTTTCTCCTAGTTTCATATTTTCCTTCTGAAGCAGCTCAAATCTCATGACCGGGAAATTAAGTTGGATCACGAAGTCTTGTTTGCATTACAACGAACGGTCATTTCTTTACAAACCCAGAAAAGCCTATTCCTCACGGTCCCTGCAAAAACATAATACAGATTCATAGTTCCAGCCAGTGGTTGTATAACCACCCAAGTGTTCTTTTCCATCCATTTACTATTGCAAGATCTAGAATAAGAGAGCCATCCAAACGACAAACGGGGAGCAGTGATAAGAGGTGATCTTTTTTTGCAGGTACTTCATTTAAAGCCCTTATTGAGGAACGGCATTGGGGTTTATGCCTTGCTACTGGTGAACCGTTTCTCCGTCAATGTCACCAAGGCAAAACAAGAAATATTACAAATCTTAAATCGCTACTTGCAATGTGAAGAGATGAACCCAGCTGATGCTGGAAAGCTAATCAGGGTCAGACTCGGGTAGTACATGGAGAAGACCACCAGGAAGTTCAATAGCTGTAGAATTGATTATGGGCCACCAAGTCGTTTTCAACTCCTAGCAGCCACACAGATTTTCTCCATGACAATCTGTCCCCAATCTGGTCCTTCAGATCTTCCAATGGTGGCCCCATTGCTCCTGTAACTGAACCCCTCCACCTTGCTGCTGGTCGTCCTCTTCTTCTCTTTCCTTCCACCTTTCCCAGCATTGCAATGGTATGGGGGGCACCTTTGAGAGACCTGAAAGACCAGGTTAGGGATAGATCGTCATGGGGAAAATCTGTCTATGTGGTCGCTAGGAGTCGAAAATGACTTGATGGCGCATAATCAATCATCAATGTAATCCTACATTTGTGAAAAGAGGGTTTAGCAGATATGTTCCCAGCAAGTTAGCCTGAAGAGTGGGGTGGGAAATCCAGAAGAGCTTTGAGTATCGAATGTGGACCTCCATGTTCATAACCAAGCAGTGGTGGTGGGACACATTTTAGAGCTCACCGAGTCTGCAGATGAAAAAGGCAGAGTGAGGTTTGTTTCAATACAAACAAGCATTGCCTGGCAGTCTTCGATCATGGAAGACCCTTGGCCTGTTTCCTCCCTCCACCCAGTCACATCAGAATTTGCTTGAAAATTACAGTCCAAATGCCAAGTGAAAGGAGCCGGGCTGGAGAATATGCTGAGAGATCTTACGAAATATATAGAATATTATCACAGCAGAGCCACATCTAAGGAGGCTAAAACCTCTTCCCATCAGAAGCAGTTTGAGTTTTAACCCCACAGGACGACGTTTTACCTGTCCAAATCCTCCCACCCACCCCTTCTCTGAACCTTTTAATTACATTTGCATCTCAGCTTTCTAGGCTCAACCCCAGAACAATGTAACTTGTTTTCTGCCCTCATTTGAGCACTAATCCTCTGGGTTATTAGGTATAATAACAATATAATATAATTGTGTAACTATAGCTGTTGCTCCAAAATCAAAGGCTCCCTGGGCCACGATGGTGTTTTTGTCTAACAAGCTGAACAAGCCATTGAAAAAAAATTGGATTTTTCCCACAGTGGAAGACTGGATTATAAAATTCTCTGAATTTGCGGAAACTGCGAAACTGACCAGTTTGGTCAGGGAAAAAACGACAAAGGCTTTTTTGAATGACTGGAAACCTTATCTGGACTTTTTGTTGAAAGAAGAAAAGACTGAATTGAGGATTTCTGGATTTGGGGATTAAAAAGGGTCAAAAAGGAAGGGGAAAGAATAAGATGGCCATTACTCGATAGAAAGAGCAGCAGATGGTGTAACTTTGTTTTCTTCTCTTTCCATTCCTCTTTTTTTTCTTTTTATTTTCTACGTTCTTTTCTTAATTTTTTTTGCTTGGTATACTGTTATTCTGTTGAAAAATTCTAATTAAAAATTATTACAAGAAAAAAATGGATTTTTATCTGAACTTCTGCAGATTACGATTTAATCTGTATTGATTCATGTTACAGACTGTGGTTGACTTATTTATGATATTATTATGCTGATCTTCATAATAGTATCGTAGGCCTTTTCTGAGACACATCAGGACAGCTGTTTTTCACCCTCTGCGCAAAAGGGGAGGAAAGAGGATGAAAAGCTGTCCATAAAACCATGTCTAACAGCCCCCGTGAAACAGGTCATCTTTACAACAGATGCCATAATTAAAAAAAAAAAAGACTAAAGAAGAAAAATAAGAAATGTGTGGGGCACCCAGTGGGGTGACCAGCGCCCAAGGCACCCTAAAGAGGCAAATTGGAAGGGAGTATTAATGATCTCCCCGCCTGCGGTCCAACGTCTGGACGGGGCATCCCAGCCCTTGTCCTGGTCACATCCAGGTTAGGAACGTGGAAGGTTAAGCGGGAAACCCCGCTCATTGTGGCTTGTTGCAAAAGGCTTCATTTAGGGAAAACCCATCCTTGCCCGGGTGCCCCGGCGAGGGGTGCAAGCATCCGTGAGCATCTCTGGACAGCGGCCGCTGGGCTTTCTCCGGCTGAGGGCCGGCCCAGCCCAGGCTGCCTTTCCGCTGAAACCACCATCGAACAAACCATCATCCGCGCCCGCCGC